AGAGTGAGACTCTGTCTCAAAAAAAAAAAAAAAAAAAAAAGAATGCAAAAGTAAAGTTATATGTCACCTTTATATCACAAAAAACTTCTATAGAGCATTATATAATTTCGATGTTACTGTAAGCAGCTTGAAAATTGTCATTTCTACTTTCTTGTGATGACCAGAAAGAGAGAGATTTGTGTGGGGGTACCTGCGGTGTTCCAAACAAGTACTGGGTGGAGGATACCACTTAGGGGGCATTTTCAGGAGGAGTAAGTATGCTCTTTTATTAAAAGGAGGTCTTAAGGATACAAGGTAAGGATTGCTGGGGAGGAGGGAGGCAAGAAGGGGAAGGGCAGTGTGGTCTGACAGCACTGAAGGCCCCACCTCCTTAAATCACTCCCAGGAGCACTGCCCAGACCATGGCAGTTGTCCAGGTCTTTAGGACCTAAGGCAATCAAAGATGGGGAAAAAAAGAGAAGGTACAGAACAAAAGCAATAGCTAAAAGCAGTTTGGGCAACACAATGAAAAGAGTATTAGACTGATAGAACCTGAGTTATCATTGGATAATAGCTTACAGATCACTTAAATGTTTTCTTCTCTTTATCTGTATTCTTTTTTTTGAGACAGGGTCTCCCTCTGCCACCCCGGCTAGAGTGCAGTGGCATCATCATAGCTCACTGCAACCTCAAACTCCTGGACTTAAGAGATACTCCTGCCTCAGCCTCCCAAGTAGCTGGGACTACACTTGGCTAATTTTTTCTATATTTAGAAGAGAGGGGGTCTCACTGTTGCTCAAGCTGGTCTTGAACTCCTGAGCTCAAGTGATCCTCCCTGCCTCGGCCTCCCAGAGTGCTAGGAGGCTCATACCTATAAGGTATGAGCCACCACGCCTGGCCCCTTCTGCTTTTAAAATGAAGATATTCTTGCCAAGATTTCAACATTATAGCTCATTTGACTCAGCCTCTTCATTTTATAGGTGGAGTGGCTGAGACCCAAAGAAGAGAAAGGACTTATCCAAGGACATACAATTCAGAGTCACATCCCAATTTCAAGTCAAATGCTCCTGCACAAAGGACACTGTGTTGGGTTTCCTGGGTATGATCTGGATTCAGGCAGCCAATTATGGTCCAGAGGCAAGAGCTGCCAAGATTCTCAGCTTGCTAAGCAGAATGAACAGTGTGCTGGATGTCACTTTGTGAAAGGAGGCTGTGGTAGTGTAGCAACAAACGTGGCCCTTTAACCCCACTGCCCTATTCTAGGAAGATACTTAGGAAAAAGTTAAAACCTTGATACAAATGATATCAACAAGAATTCCACTTTATTCTGTGCTCCCCATTCCCAGCTTGGAACAGTAGAGACTATAGAGAGAGTAGAAAAAACAGTAAGAGATTGTAACCCAAGCAGGATTTGGGAGATGACTGGCACAGTGGTTGACTATAGTTGATCACCATTGTGAAGTGTGGCTGGAAGAGTAGGGAGGGCCACCCATTTAATAATAATTGTCATCACTTACTGGGTGCCTACTTCGTCGAATACTACACTCATGTTTTAATATAGTCTCATTTATTTTTCATAATAGCCCTGTAGAGTAGTTTCCAGAAATTAAGAATCTTGCCCAAGGTTACTTGGCTGGATGGAGCTGGATTATACAAATATTTAATAATACATGTTCATTGTAGAGAAAACAGATAAAGGGCTGGGTGAGTTCAAGACCAGCCTGAGCAATAGTGAGATCCCGTCTCCACTAAAAATAGAAAAATCAGCCGGGCATGGTGGCGTGTGCCTGTAGTCCCAGCTACTTGGGAGGCTGAGGCAGGAGGATCTCTTGAGCTCAGGAGTTTGAGGTTGTAGTGAGCTATGATGATGCCATTGCACTCTAGCTGGGGCAACAGAGGGAGACTGTGTCTTAAAAAAAAAAAAAAAAAAAAAAGCAGAAGGATATTTGGTAGGATACAGCAGTGGAGTTGCAAACATGGACTACCTGGAGGTACAGCCTCTAAGGAAGGGAAGAAATTCCTAGGCTGGGAGCTTCTCAGAAAAGTGGTAAGCGGTATTATGGAACTGAGTGCCCACACATGGTGCAGATTCAAGAAGTAGCATATTCTATGCTTGAAAAGAACCTGAAAATATAACTGATGGTGGTTATTAATGGTCTGTGTTCCTGTATCCTTAGGTGTAAGTGGAAAATGGAGAGAAAAGGAGTAAATTTCTGGGAATCCAGGCTATCATATAACCTGATCTAATACTTGCTAAAGGAGCAAATTTACCCACTGTTTTCCATAGAAAAATGTAGGGTTTTTTGTTGTTGTTGTTGTTTTTTTAAGAGATAGGGTCTCGCTCTGCCATCCAGACTGGAGTGCACTAGTGCAATCATACCTCACTGCAGCCCCAAACTCCTGGGCTCAAGTGATCCTCCTACCTCAACCTCCCAGGTCAGGTGTAAGCTACCGTGCTCAACTCTAATGCAGGTACTCTTTAACCTGGTCAGTTATTTCATAAATTTATGTGAAAATTTCCCCCTGTTCTGCAGCAGGAGACAATGTAAACTTTTGTAAGTCTAGTGGATCTTAAAAGCAACCCTCTGTCATTAGCAGAAAAACTGGTGAAATGTGAATAAAGCCTGCATGTAGTTTAGTTAACAGCATTGGACCAATGTTAATTTTTTAGTTTTGAGAAATGTACCACAGTTAAATAAGATGTTAACATTAGGAGAAGCTATTTTAATAACTCTAAATCCAAAATTATTTCAAAATAAAAAGTTTGTTACAAAAAAATTTACTCCCTCTCCAAACTTATGTCTCCCTCTCACTATTGGTGTCTCCTGCATTTCACAGTTAAGGGTCCTGAAAGCACAGGCTACAGCTGCTATTTCCATTTTATCACCTTCCATTCACTCTTTGATTCTACTATCAAAACACACAAGTAGCTCCAACCAAAATTACCAATTACTTCTTTTAAATTTTCATTATTTGATTTTTAATTTATTATTTTTATCCATTACAAAAGTAATAACTTTGGAGGAAAAACTCATAATCAATATAGGAATGTACATATGACTTGAATAGACACTATAACTTTCCTTCCTTGACTCCTACCTCTCCCAACCAAGATGTCCACTGCCAACAGTGTGGTATACTCTCTCAATTTTTTTCCTATTTTTATACCCTATAATTTTTTCCTACATCATACTGTACTTACTGTTCTTGACTTTGCCTTATTTAATTACTTTATGTGCTTCTGATATCTTCCATGTCCGTACATACAATCTTAACCACATATTACATTGTATGTGTGTACCATAATTTTCCATTCTCCCACTGACAGTATCTGCATTCTTCAAATTCTTAGATCCAACTGTTTAGATTACAATTTGTATCTGTTACTTAAATTTACATTTCTTTGAGGCTGGGCGCGGTGGCTCACACCTGTAATCCTAGCACTCTGGGAGGCCGAGGCAGGCGGATTGTTTGAGCTCAGGAGTTCAAGACCAGCCTGAGCAAGAGCAAGACCCCGTCTCTACTAAAAATAGAAAGAAATTAATCAGACAACTAAACATATATAGAAAAAAAAAATTAGCCGGGCACGGTGGCACATGCCTGTAGTCCCAGCTACTCGGGAGGCTGAGGCAGAAGGATTGCTTGAGCCCAGGAGTTTGAGGTTGCTGTGAGCTAGGCTAACGCCACGGCACTCTAGCCCAGGCAAAACAGTGAGACTCTGTCTCAAAAAAAAAAAAAAAAAATTTACATTTCTTTGATTATCAGCGAGGCTAAGCATTTTTTCACATTTTCATTGTTTCTTCTTCTTTAAATACCTATTCACATCCACTTACCTTGACTGCCAAATGCAATGGACACTTGTTTTATGTGATCTAACTACAGCATTTGACATTCCTGATCACTCCCCCTTTCGAAATTCCTTCCTTCCTTTCTGTGATGTCCCTTTTTCCTAGATTTCTTCCCATTCCTCTGGCCACTACTCAAGTTTTTTTTGTTGTTGTTGTTTTAAACACGCTTCTCCACCTCTATCCCTCCTTTACATGGTGGGGTCCCTCGAGGTTTTGTCTTAGATCCTCTACTTTGCCCACTCTACACATTCCCTGTATACGATGTCATCCATCCCCTGGTATCACCCACCAGCTATCTGTTAATACTATAGATTATACAGATTGTAGCATCAACAGATATATAAATAGACCTGTAACTCTAGCCAGATATCTCTCCTTATCTATGAGTTCCACCTGGAAATTCTATAGGCATTTTAAACTCATCCTTGCCCAAGGCTGACGTCTTCCTTTTTCTTTTTTTTTTAAATTTTTAAATTTTTAAATTTTTTTTCTTTGAGACAGAGTCTCGCTCTCTTGCCTGGGCTAGAGTGCTGTGGCGTCAGCCTAGCTCACAGCAACCTCAAACTCCTGAGCTCAAGCGATCCTCCCGCCTCAGCCTCCCAGAGTGCTAGGATTACAGGTGTGAGCCACTGAGCCCAGCACGAAGTCTTCCTTTTTCTCCCTTCACACCTCACTCTCTAACCTGTTTCTTTTCCCGAATTCTCCATCTTGGTGAATGTAACAATTATCTTTTCATTGGTCAACTATGCCTACTCTCTTATGCCTTCATTCTGTGCATGTGCTGCTTCATCTGTTTAGGATACCACATTTCTGTCACTGCGTTGTCCCCTTTGCTTAGCTAATTCCCATTGCTCCTTCAGGATTCAGCACCTGGAACATAAGACATGATCCATATGCTGGCATTGCTTATGTACAAATTAAATGGAAAAACAAATAGAAAAAAATAATAAAGATAAAAAAAGAGACATAATCCATAGATGTTTGTCTATATTTGGGGTGTTGACTTCTTTCATCCTACTCTGTCTTGAACCTAGTCCAATCGGGCCTTTATCCCACCATTCCCAAATAGCATAAGATGACCAATGACTTTCATGTTGCCAAGTCTGATGGTCAATGTTCAGCTTATCTGTGTTTGTTAACTCTCCTTCTAGAAATACTCTCTTCATTTGGTTTCTGGTACACTATTCTCTTGTTTCTAACCTCTATTTTACTGGTTGCTTCTCCTCTGTCTCCTCTCTTGGCTCCTCCTTATCTCTCTAACCTTTAGACAGCAAGGTGCCCTGGTGCCCTGGAGCTCAGTCATAGGACCTCTTCTCTTCTCACTCCCTATGTTATCTCATGCATCTCTGAGCTTTCAGTGTCACTAATACTTTGATACACACTCTAGCCTGGATCTCTTCCAATTCCAGATTTTTATACAGTATCCAAGTTCCTACTTAATATTTCCACTTGGATATCTCAAAACACTTCATGTTTAACATGTCCAAAACTGAGCTTCTACTATTTCTCCCTCTCCAAACCTGCATTTACTGCAGCCTCCCCCATCTCAATTAACGGCATTTTAATTTTACAATGCTTGGGCCAAAAACATTTTGCCATTCTTGATTCTTCTGTCTCTCTCTACCTTCAGTATAAATCCCGACCACTTCTTTTTTTTTTTTTTTGAGACAGAGTCTCACTTTGTTGCCCTGGCTAGAGTGAGTGCCGTGGCGTTAGCCTAGCTCACAGCAACCTCAGACTCCTGGGCTCAAGCAATCCTTCTGCCTCAGCCTCCCAAGTAGCTGGGACTACAGGCATGCGCCACCATGCCCGGCTAATTTTTTTCTATATATTTTTAGCTGCCCAATTAATTTCTTTCTATTTTTGGTAGAGACGGGGTCTCGCTCTTGCTCAGGCTGGTCTCGAACTCCTGAGCTCAAACAATCCGCCCGCCTCGGCCTCCCAGAGTGCTAGGATTACAGGCATGAGCCACTGCACCCGGCCCCCGACCACTTCTTATTACCTATACTGCTACTACCCCAGTCCAAACCATTATTATATCTTGCCTAAATCATTACAATTGTCTTTTAATTGATCTCCATGCTTCTGCCACTGTTCCTCTACACTTTCTTCCTCCTCTTTTAAAAATTTAAGTCTCATCACATCACTCCTTTGTACACAAACCCCCTCCAAAGGCCTCCTTGTATTCAGAGTTAAAGCCCAGGTCCACACAATGACATTATATGGCCTTTTGCTTCCTATTTCCCAAACATACTAGACTGATCATGCCTCAGGGCCTTTGCACATGCAGTTCCTTCTGTCTGAATCTTTCTTCTCCCTGGCTCATGTCCTCGGATCTCTGCTCAAACGTCTCCCTCATCAGAGGCCTTCCTTGATCACCCTATGCTCTATCCTCCTTACCTGTTTCGTACTGTTTCACTGTACTAATCAGTACCTGACACAATTTCTTTGTTGTCTGTTTCTCCTACTAGAATGTAAACTCCATAAGGGCAGAGATGTAGTCTGTATTCTTAGTGCCTAAAACCGTGTTTGACATGTAGTAGGTGCTCTGTGAAAACTTGCTAAATGAATGAGTGAAAGAAGGAAGAAAGGAGTAAGGGAAAAAAGTAGTCAAGCAGGCAGGAGAGAGAGAAGGGAAGAAAAGAAACCAGCGATTGAGTGAAGTAATGGTAGCTTTTTCTTATAATGCACCAGAGGAGATCCATTTTCAAATTACAGGAAAGTTAAGCCAAGGACCTGGTCAGTATTACCCCTTAGAGAGAACAAATTCATAGGGGCATGTTATACACTAATTTAAATAGATTAGGTACTGAAAACTGCCAGGAGGATGTTTTTGTAATGTCAGCCAAATTAAAGAACTCCTTCCCAAATACATGAGTTTTTTTCCTCATAAGATTAAATCAAGTAAGAGTTCAAAAGATACGTATTATCCAGCCCAGCTGGAAGTTAGCAAGCAAGGAGAGCAGAGAATGGATACTAGCAGAGAGCTTATTCTGTATGTTTCTGCATTTGATGGATCCTGCAGCTAGAAAACCTGCTAACTAGGCTGGGTCAAGAAGTTCGCTTTAACTGAAGGACCCAGAGAATGAAAACAGCTGCACAGCTACTATCATTTAAATGCACAGATACAGAAATTCTGGTTGTTTGTTTGGAAGAAAGGATGACAGCCCAGGAAACCCTGTGTTCTAATTCAAGCAGAAGAGCTAAGCCATTTTACTAACCTCAGGCAAAGCACTTGCCCTTTTGTCCTTCGCTCAACACAAGAAAGAAAAAGTGGTTCAAAAAGAGAAGCTCAGTGAAAAAATAAGATTCCCTGCACCTGGGCCAAGTTCTCTTGAGCAAATGGCTCACAAATCAGACCAGCTGGCACAAATGTCCACTCAGCTGATGCGAAACCCAAGCCACACAGAGGCTGCAGGTGGCTTGGCCACATAGGCTCTGCTCATGAAGTGCCACGTGCCCTAGGGGTTCTGAATACTTACGCTTCTCTTCTTTTCCATGTTTGTTTCTTCAGCTGCTTTCTGGTACCTTTGGAGAAGGAGGGGAAAAAAGAGAATGTCCTCAAATTAAACTTATATTTTCACTCTTTCAATCTTCAAGAAAACCATGTCTGCATACCTATTTCTGCCAGCAGTTGTTTTTGATCAACTCTATCAGAAGAAGCAGAGAATCAGAGCAGCCCTCACTTCCTGTGGCGGCATCTGCTCTGCTATAACAGCAAGATCCAAGTGGATGAGGTCAAATGCTGGGAAATAACTGGCTAGAGCAGAAAGTCTGGGGTTTAAGTCCCAGTTTTGTCACTTATTAACTGTTTTCTCTGGAAAGTTATTAACCTCTGTCAGCCTCAGTTTCCTTACTTAGAAAATGGCTTTACAATCTACTTTCAGGGTTGCTGAGAAGATTAAATGAGATCAAATGTATAAAAATGCTTTGGAATTAGTCAAGTACATATAGCAATGCATTAATTCTAAAATGCACATTTCTTCTCCCATATTAATGCCTCTGAAATCTTACAACTGTTGTCAGCCAAATGGTCAAGAGGTAATCATACTACCTGTACATGTGTGAATTTAGTCTAAGTTACTGATATTAGTCAATAATTAACTTTAGCCCAGTTGCATGTATTCCATGGTACTACATGTTTTAGATGTCACTTAAAAGATTACACCATGATCCGGCATTTAAGAAAAAATTATTTTAGTTTTTTATGTATGCATAAGAGTGATATATAAGTTTATGTGATAGGCAAGCATTGGTCAGTTTAATTAGCAATTTTTCTTAATGATACATAAAATAGTGGCACAGCCTATGTAGTTGATTACATTTTAGATTTGATAAATAAGCATATAAAATTTTATTTAAAATTTCTTATTACTTTTATCATTTTAATTACATGGATCAGAAAATCCCTGAGAAACAAAGTCCCAAGGCTTTTCAGGCAGCATCAGGTTTTTTCCATTTAGAGACTAAAGAGACCTGGCAGGTCCAAGCTGCAGCAGATCTCCTGACCCGCCCAGAACAACTATTTAACCTGGCTTCCTCCAGGCCTCTGGGTCAGGCCTCTGGGTAAAGCGCAGAAGGCAGCACCATCACTTGCAGATCCCCACTATGTGTTTCTCTTTGGGCCTGCATGTCTAGAACCCAGTTAGCACCAACCCTAGAAAAGGGCACTGTTCAAAGGGCACTTATTCTCTGACTTAAGGTAGAATTTCAGAATTCACAAGGCATCAGGGAAGGAGGCAAGAGTAGAAGAAAAAGAGCAGAATGGGAAATGGCCCATTCCTCTACCAAAACCAACTTTCAGTTCATAAATGCTTTCACAAACTCAGAACTTTCTTAGTGTGTTAAATAGCATGACCTCATGTAAAATGGAAGCCAGAGAATAGTCCTGGCTCTGGCGCCATTGCTTACCTGCTGTGTGACCTGGGTTACATGGCTTCATTTACTTAGGCCTCATCTACAAAATGAAGTGACTATGTGAGAATATTTCTTAAGGCCTCTTCCAGTCCTACCACTGTTTAATTTTAATCATCGGATATTAACGAGCATCTCATTCACCAGCTGGGTATTGCCTTGCAACTGAGCAGAGCTTTCCAATGGGGTAGAAGGACTTCCAAAAATTTCTGGGTACTTCGTTGACCATAAATAGGAAGAAAGTGGGATTAGAACTGCTATGATTGAATGGACAATCCGAAAAGATATTTGTAACTTATATTACAGACAAAAGGCTAATTTCCCTAGAATACAAAAGACTCCTATAAATCAGTAGGAAAAGGACAAACAACTGAATAGAGACATGCGCAAATATATAAACATACAGTTAACAAAAAGAACATCAAATGGCTCTTTAACAAACAAAAAAGATGTTCAAGATCAAAATGCAAACTCAAACAATACTAAGAAGATATTTTCTCTATCAAGTAGAAAAAGATTTTTTTTAAAAAAGCGCTACTATGCTGCATTGGTGAGGGTATGGGGAAACAGGTTCTATCTAGCAATGCCGGTGGGAGGATAAATTGATAAGGCATTTTGTCACTATCTGCCAAAATTACAAAAGCACAAATGTTACAATTCACCAGTTTTGCTCCCAGAATTTATCCAATAGATACATGAGGGGAAAAAAAGATTTTTATATTACATTATTTATCATAGCATTAACTGTAATAGCAAAACACTGAAAACAACCTGGAATGTTCAATAGCAGAGGACTGGCAAATAAATTATAATGTACTCATATAATAGAATACTATGTAGTAATAAAAAGGACAAAGGGAAGGTGGTAACGGTTGTACAATAATATGAATGTACTTAACGCCACTGAACTGTATACTTGTAAATGATTAAAATGGTAAATTTTATGTTATATACTATATATTTTACCACCGTTATACAAAATAGTATGGTACTGGCATAAAAACAGACACATAGATTAATGGAATAGAAAAGACAGCTCAGGCCGGGCACCGTGGCTCACACCTGTAATCCTAGCACTCTGGGAGGCCGAGGCGGGTGGATCGCCCGAGCTCAGGAGTTCAAGACCAGCCGACCCCGTCTCTACCAAAAATAGAAAAAAATTAGCCAAACAACTAAAAATATATAGAAAAAATTAGCTGGGCATGGTGGTGCATGCCTGTAGTCCCAGCTACTCGGGAGGCTGAGGCAGGAGGATTGCCTGAGCCCAGGAGTTTGAGGTTGCTGTGAGCTAGGCTGAGACGCCACGGCACTCTAGCCCAGGCAAGAGAGTGAGACTCTGTCTCAAAAAAAAAAAAAAAGAAAAGAGAGCTCAGAAATAAACCCTCACATATATAGTCAAATGATTTTTTTTTCTCTTTGCCAATTGTGCTTTGTAAAAAATTATTCTTTTTTTTTTTTCTGAGACAGGGTCTCATTCTATCACCGAGGCTGGAGAGCAGTGGTGTGATCATAGCTCACTGCAGCTTTAAACTGAGCTCGAGGGATCCTCCTGCCTCAGCCTCCAAAGTAGCTGGGACTATGGGAGCACCCTACCACTCCTGGCTAATTTTTCTTATTTTTTGTAGAAACGGGGTCTCGCTATTTTGCCTAGGCTGGTCTCAAACTCCTGGCCTCGAGCAGTCCTCTAGCCTCAGCCTCCCAAAGTGCTGGGATTATATGCATGAGCCAATGTGCCTGGCCTCAAATGATTTTTGCCAAGACCATGCAATGGGAAAAGAACAGTATTTTCAACAAATGGTGCTGGGAAACCCGGATGCATGCAAAAAAATGAAACTGGACCCTTACTTTATACCACGTGCAAAAATTAAGTCAAATGGATCAAAGACCTAACTGTAAGAGCTAAAAATATAAAACTTTTAGAAGAAAACAGGAGAAAAGCTTCGTGACTTTGGATTTGGCAATGATTTCTTGGATATGATACCAAAATCACAGGCATAAAAGAAAAAATAGATAAACTGGACTTCAACAAAATTAAAAACTTCTGTGCATCAAAGAACACTTTTAACAAAGTGAAAAAGCCCCATGGGATGGGAGAAAATATTTGGAACTCATATCTGATAAGGGATGAATATTCAGATTATATAAATTTTTAAAATAACAAAAGTAGGATAATATTATACATACTATTCTATATCTCCCTTCATTTCAGAGAGAAATTGAAAACAGCTGATGTTTTCATTCAAGAAATATTAACATTTATTGGTGCCCAATTATGTATCAAGCACTAGAGAAAAAGTAGTAAAAGAAATAACCAAAAGAGACAAAATTCCTGTTCTCAGAGAGCCTACAGTTTAGATATTAAAACACGTAAGAGCTGGGCATGGTAGCTGGGAAGTCTGTTCTCCCAGCTACTTGGGAGGCTGAGGGGGGAGGATCCCTTGAGCCCAGAGGTTTGAGGTTGCTGTAAGCTATGATCTCGCCACTACACTGTACACTACCCTCCAGCCTGGGTGACAAATCGAGACCCCCCCACCTCTAAACTAAACAAAACACACAAGCACACAAATACACATGCACACACACACAGAGTGATAAGTGCTTTGAAGAAAAAGAACAGAGTATTATAATTAAATTACTTAAGAAAGGAACCAAATTGAGAAAGAGTAGGGGGTCAAGGAAAGCCTTGCTTGTGTTAATTAGTCTGATTTGATCATTCTGCAACGTATTCATGCATGGAAACATCATGTTGTACCCCATAAATATGTACAATTATTGTCAATTAAAAATAAATCAGAACTTTCTTAGTGTGTTAAATAGCATGACCTCATGTAAAATGGAAGCCAGAGAATAGTCCTGGCTCTGGCGCC